GAATGGCCAGGGAATAGTCCCAGTTTGTGCCAATTTAAAAAAAAAAAATAGTAAAAAAAAAAGTCTGGGGGAGAATAGGGGGTAGGGAATGACCAAAGCCTAGCATACAAGATCGGGAAGAGCACATCGTGATGCACTGGAACGTCCGGAATGCGGGGACGCCTGACGGGCTGGCCACATAATGGGAAAGGTGCATTGGAAAATGAGGAAACGGGTTTGCTCATTGTGGGAGGGATGACAGGAGCGAAGGGCAATGAAATTTGGGCCCTTCGTTCCACTTGTCCTCGGGGACGTCGCCCGAGGACATTTCCTTCGAGCAATGTCAGAAAAGCAAAAAGAAAAACGAAAAAAAATCAAATGTGCTTGACGCCTTCAGCCAATAGGGTGCCGCCACAATCATCTCTGTTGTAACGTCTCTCTACCCATGTGTCCTCTCCTCTCCGTGAAACACGGGTTCCTTTTGCCCAAGGGACCTCGCAAAAGGAACAAATGGTTGGGGACTCCTCAGAGCCCAAGGAATTTCCTTAGGAGCGAGCGTTTTCACTTTCTTTTTTCCCGACTGCATACCCGAGGATAGGTCGAACGACCAATTCCTCGGGGTCTTTACTCGCCCGAGGAGTGTCTAACGAGCCCCATATACAAAATGTGGTCTATGCCTGATGGGTTACACACCTCATCATAAACGGGGGCTGCTCATCATAAAAGGGGTCTAAGCTTGAACCACTTTTAATTAAAAGGGGTTCAACCTTCAAAGATAAAGTGCAAGCCTCGCAAAATAAAGGGCATTACAGTGGCAGATCACCGCCCAGATGTCTGCCTACCAATGACTGGTTGATTGACCACTGAATTTCCCACCTAGAACACAAAGGCCTTGCCCAGGTTGCCCTGCCCTGGTGCCAAAGATGCCTCCCCTGTTTCCTGTCAAGGCAAATTGTTGAAACCATTGAGCCCATTTTTTGGCAATGACGGACGGGCCTACGGTCTTCCCCCCAACATAATGCACCCTAAAAATGAATGTATACGAGCTATATTTCCAGCTAAATACAGCCAAAATAAGGGTGCGTTGTGTTTGGGGGAAGACGGTAGTAGCTCAGTTGGTGTGCGTCGGCGGCGTCGACGTGAGTACTGCGTGCGGGCAGAGTAGGAAGACATCAGGGGAGAGGACGCCATCTCGACAGTCGTCAGGGCCGTTGTATGCTGAGAGTGGCGGACGACGTCTTGCAGGCTGCTCCAGCTTCCTTCGTTGCACCATCGGCGTCCATCTCCAGTTGTCCGGTTTGGCGGTCCGACGGAACTTCGGAGGAGTTTGTTGCCATCCTCGATGGCTCGTTTCAGAGATATGGAGGGCGGCGACAATGACGACTATGGGAAGCTGATGGTGGTGGAGAGGACGACAGTGACAACTGTCACCGCAGTCCTCTTTCGTTGTCAGGTGGAGAGGGCGATGGGGAGAATGAAAGCGCAGATCCGCGCGCAAAGGAGGAAGGTCATGCAGTGCACGGGGGTGGAAGGGTTGGACACCGCCGCCATCTACGATGCCGTCGTTCAGGTCTGGTGCGCCTTGGGTTGTGGAGTTCTTCCCAAAGCAACACCCAGGTGGTGGATAAAAAGAAGGGCGGGTGGGGTGTGGGAGGATCTACGGCAATGCGACGACGCCACGGAGGACTACTTTCGACAAGCTGAGCATGCTGCCACGTGTCTTCCGGGGGAGATTGTGGAAGCTCTGTTGCCATTCATGCACCGCCCTGTGACGTTCTACGCAGAACCGCTTCAGCCTGATCACATCGTCGCGTACGCATTGTACCGGTGGGCGTTGGAGGAGATGTACGAGAGCAGCGCGTATAACTTCTGCATTGGCAGAGCATCAGGTTTGGTGCCAGTGCGGGACGTCACTGCGGCGTTGCTGACCGTCTACCGAGAGAAGATATCATGGCCAACGGGGTTGCGCAAGTCGGTTGTCCTCTATGCTTTCGCTAGCAAGGGGTTCCCCAACTGCCATGTCTACATCGACTGCACCCATATCTACATCGACAAGCTAGCAAACGCCCTTGGCGAGGACTACTACGTTCTCGATCATCGCACAGATTGTCGTCGATTTGAACTTGCGTGTGCTGGACATGTTCATCAACTATCCTAGAAGCTTCCACGACGTCAGGATCATCCACCTATCGAGTATGTGGGCCCGTGCAGATGCAAGGCTGGGGAACTTTTCATCCGCATACAATTGGCTCCCCGCCCAGTCCTGGGTGGAGCCACTCCCCAGTCCCACAGTACGTGACCATGCTTTCTCCGCCTCCCCATCGGACGTGTTGGGTAGAGGTTGTTCGTGCGGTGGCAGGTGTGCATATGCAGACGGGACGTATGGCCTTGCAGTGCATGTCGGGTCGCTGCACGACCCGTAGCTTGCGAATCGCTCCACTGGAGTCCTGTTCTTCGCCTGCCGCCCTTCCATGATAACGCTCTTTGTCGAAGAACACCTCTTGCACGTGCGTCCAGGCAACCTACCGAGGATGCACACGTGGAAGGCGACGACAAGGAGAAGTGTAACCAACACCAGGAACAACAGCAGCAGTCTTTGGAAGACATCCGCCATGAACGACACGTGGTCAAGGGCGGTAACTGCACAACACCAATACGACTCCAGCAAACGATGGCGACACAACGGCAGGAAACGGCGACGAGAACGGGGCAGCAATCGACGGACTGTACAATCCGACGAACGCCGTCGTCATGGCACGCGTCGTGTAGCTCAGAATAGAAATTTCGACGGGCTCAAATATTCGAATTTTTCGTCCGTTGGGCCGATTTTCGTTTGGCTGCACGCGCTACGAGGGAGAGCAGTTGTGGACGAAGTGTATGGGAGTTGGAAGGCCACCAACGGCTGCCGTTGGGGTACGGTTCTTGGAAGCCGAGCAATGAAGGCCAATGATGTCCATGCACCCCCCGACAAGACCTCCAATGGACCAGCCGACGAAAATTTCTTATCGATAACGGGTGTCCTCGCCGCTCCATTTATCGCGGATCGTTCACCTCCGAGGGATCTCGGGAGGTACCTTGGGGGGGGGCACAAAATGGTTGTAGCCCGAGGACGGCCCGAGGATTCCCCGCGGAAATGTTTTCACTTTTTTTTTCATTTTTTCCCCCCAGGATAGGTGGAACGAAGATTTCCTCGGGGATTTTACATGCTCGAGGAGTGTCTAACGAGCCCCTGTGATAAGCCAAGTTTCATACATCTGGGTTCGGCCGATGATGTCATTCCCCGGGGTGATCACCACAACTTTGTTAAGGGACACCGAGCCCAGTTCTCGGCTTATAAAAGTATTTCCTTGGAAAGAAGAAAAAAAAGTTCCGTACATCGCGACTTCACATACCCTTCGGATTAAACCTTGAATTTGTAAGACTTGATATACAGATATTGAAAAAAATATGGATGGATGGGGTCCACTTTAAAATTTTGTTATTTCATTGCATACATCTTTCGCGAATGAAATGTCCTTGTTCCGAGTGGGCGATTAGCCTCACGGTTATAATTTCGGTCGCCATAGTTTTTAATTTCTGGTGCTTTGCATCCGCACGCCAACTTCTCTTTTTGCTCGTCCCTCGTCATCATGCACCTCTCTCTCTCTCTATATATATATATTTGGTACTCCAGAAAAACAAATTTTGATTGAAACTGTCTTTGCACAATGGATACAGGCTACACATGGAAAAACACTTTATGGATTTGATGTTTTACTTTCTTCTAATCAAAGCCSTGCTTTAAATGCAGGTGCAAATCTTTGGTTGCCTGGATGGTTAGATGCTATTAATAATGGTAATAACTCATTATTTTTAACAATTGGACCTGGTGATTTCTTAGTCCACCATGCAATAGCTTTAGGCTTACATACTACCACTTTAAGTAAAAAATAAGCTTTTTTACATTAAAAAATATATATATTTTATTTTTCTACTCGAAAAACAAATACCATAGTATTTAATCACATCAATAATTAATAGAAATCAAATTAATAAATCGGATTCTATTATTTGATTCCATCAATCAAATAAATTAAAAAAAAATAGATATTTTTCTAACAAAGTAAGTTATTTGAGAATAGAAATGAATGACTCAACTCTTGAATGTAAAAGTCACATATCCAGAGATTATTCATATGAATCTATGAATACTAACAATTACAGTCATCAAAAGAATAATCATCATCATAAATGATATGAATATTTATATATATATATATATATAATTGTATAAAAAATAGAATAGCTTGACAAAGAGATTATAAATCTATTATAATTATATATATCATACGTAAGACATGTATTAAAAAATATGTATTATGTATGAAAAAATATGTAGTATATTCAATGATTAATTGAATATAGTTTAATTACTCAAATCAATAATTCATGAAAGTGCTAAATTGTTATAACATATATATACATATATATCGTCAAATAGAACTGCCCGGCAACCCATATATATACATATATATTATTAAACTATTAAATTTATTTATATGATTTTATATTTGATATTCTTTTATATTTGATATATTTTTATTAATTAATATTATTGATATATGCATATAT